GACAGATGGAGGCCAAGTCACCAGGTCATGACCTGAAGTCATACTTTAAACATGTTCCAGCTACCTTAGGCTGGGTTTTAGTTTCTTTTTCAAGGGAAATGTATGTCCCAGAATTTTGTTGAATGCCTCATCCTGGGGAATCTGGTTCTAAAGCTAAACAGTGGAGGAGGTGCAGTTTTGACCTGCATGTCACCTCAGTCTCTCATGTTGTAGTCAGCACTTGAGCCTAAAACTGGGAGAAAAAAGCCCAAACTACAGTAAGAAATAATACCCTCACTGCACAACCAGGGGTAGAATCTTGTGTTTGAGGGGCATGGTGGGGTGATCCTAGGAGATTCTTGGCAAATCACTTGGCCTCAGTTTCCTCACTTTTAAAGTATGGGCTGGTCTGTAAGTTTTCTTTCTGCTCTTTGATCTCTCAGACTCTAAGATGAGTTGTGGGGAACACACAAATTGATACCTTCACTTTAAAGGTGGCGGGGTGGGGGCAGAATCAGATACATCAATGCTGCCATTTCCCTGGCAGAACCTAATCCCTGAAACTTAAACCAAGCAGGCAGCCTCGATTGCTCTTGGAATATCAGGTTGCAGTGCAGGACGTTGTCAAGCATCTGTATTACTTCTGCTTTTGAAACAACAGTGTTCTGTCAAAGAGGAGCCTGTGTCATTATCTAATGCCTGTTGTCATTTTAGTTCGGTGACCAAGAAGGAAAAATGAAAATAAGTAGAAAAAAAGATAAGGTATTTCATAACCTGGAGTGCACGGCTGTCTAGAATATAATACAGATCTATCAATAATTCAGTTAAAACAGTTTACCTGCTTTACATGAGTACATTCAGCTCACTGATCTTTGTTCAAGTTCACTGTGAAGTTACTTAACTGTGGGCTGCACGTTGCACCACACAGACCAAAGCATTATAGATTTTTTTTTCCCAATGTAATACACAAGTCCAAATTGATTGCAGTAAAACATAAATTTAGCCAAATCTTTAATACACTCTATTAAAGCATGAATAAGACTTTAAACCTTTGTCTTAGCTACAGAGTAGCTGGAACTAGAGGTGAACCAGTTGCCAACAGCCAGAATAGAAAGTTGCCTTTGGCTGTGGTATTTATTCTCAACGGTGTATCACTTAAAATAATGAACTTTTTCTTTTCAAGTGTAAAAATGAGCAATTACCTGCCATTATAAAATGACCCATTGCACAAAGGAGCTAGTTTTGTTTCCTTTCCCCAGTGAGGCTAACCTCTATTGCAGTGGCTGTGGATACATGCCTCACATTTGTCAGGCACCTGCATGCCCCAGGTCCAATTTTCTAGGACAAAAATTATCTTTCAAAACACAAGAAAGGCACCAACCATTTTCCCACCTCTACTTGTGGCGGGAGAAGTATATGTTAATAGCCCTCCCAGGTAGTTGGCACAGACTGCATTACTGTAGAATGGTCAGGCAAATTTTGGACTGAAAGGTACAAAATACAGCAGTGTACTTCCAGAATTAAACTTTAAATAACTTGGAGTTCCTTTCTATGGAAGGCTATGAAAAGATTAGATAAACATGTTCTACGCTATAGGCAAGAAATCATACTTGAAAATATGATCATGTTTCAGCGTTTTAGATTATAACATTGCAAATACAGGTTATGGGGAAGATTCCCAAAGGCTGGCTTGATTTGATACAATTGAGTGTGTATGTCTTGGAAAGGGAAGGGAGGGGAATGGGAGGAAGAGGAAAGGGATAGGAAGGATTATTTTTATCTGTGCTGTCCTGTATGGTGGACACCAGCCCTATGCCTCCTCTTTCAACTCAGATGTGCTATAAAGGTAAAAACTGCACTGAATTTTGTAGACTTAGTCTAAAAAAAAAATACAATAATATCAGTAATTTTTGTATTGATTACATATTGAAATCACATGTGAAATTGCATTTGTTGTATACTGCATTAAATGTTAAAATTGATTTCACCTATTTGAACATGATTACTTGAAAATTTTAAATCTATGACTTACATTATATATTTTCACTAGACAGGGCTGCTCTGTGTCCATTTTACACAGTGGAATTATAGCTAATGTTGACTTTCTTGTGTTTCTGTATTTTGAAACTGAAAATACTATGTCTTGAAGGAAATAACTATCATGGACTTTGGAGTCTGGAAATCATGGGTCCTGGCTGTGGCATTTGTACAACTACTCTCTGGGTGTTGACTTCTCATTTGCTAAATGAAGATCCCATGTTGACCTTACAGGTCAGAGCTCACCAGGTTGTCAGGGGCAAGAAATAAGTGCAGTTCTTAGAACATGAGAGAGAAAAGCTGGTAACCATTCAGCATAATTCTTGGTTATATCTCAAGACCTGCTGGATGTTTAGCTGTAAGGTTCTGGTTCATTTCTACTCAGATCCATTGTCTCTTGTTCGGGTTTGTACTTGCTGTTATACCCACCTGCTCTACACCCAGAAAAACCACCTTTTTTTCCTTGTTGAGAATCTCTTTTCTGGCCTGTCCTTTGCTCCTACTTGTTCAGAATGAGCTACCTCTCACTTAATTAGCTCATTTCCATTTCACAACAAGAATTTTATCCTGGCTGAAGCTACAAAGCCACAGGTCTTGATCTGCCTCAATCTTAGCTCCTATCTGGATGCTGGGTCTTAGTTTTTACCAAACTCTGCTTCTCTTGTTAGAATGATCAAAGACCACTGAGGCCAGGCAAGTGTGCATGGGAAATTAACAGACAAATAAGGATCATGTAAGGAAGAGATCATGAGAATGAGCAACACAGGGCAGAAGTGATTTTGTAACTCCTCTCCCCTTGCTCCACAATCCCACTCCTTTCCTTGTTGCCTTTGCCTGCTGGATTTAAAAGCTATCCTGTGTTCAGCCCGTGGCAAGTACATGGCGCTTCTTTCCCTTTGTAGAGTCTGCTGTCTGAAGAACAACCTCCCACGATGTAGCATACACCTCTAAAATCATGCACTTGATTTCCATATTCTGGGAAATAGCTCCTTAGATGAAGATGGCTGTACTTGCTCTGTGAAACTCAGTGACAGAGAAGAAGAAAAACATAAAGCTTTGTGAAGACAGAGCTTGCCCGGGTATGGGAAGCTTCTAGCTCCTTCACAGCTAATGGGGTGAACCACTCCCTCAGAGCTGCATGAGATAAAACAAGGAGCAGAAACTTATGAACAGATTTGTGCTAACACAGGTGGCTAGAAGCATCCATGCTCCTCAAAGCAGTGCAAAAAAAAAAAAAGTCCCCAATTTTCCATGCAAGTCAATTTTCCATGTTTTTTTTTTTTTTTTTTTTAAATCAGGAAAATGTTGATTTTTTTTTTTTTTCTCTCTTCTCCTCCAGCAGCTATAACTAGGTGATTAGGAATATACTCCTGACTTAAGATAGTTTTTTTGCCTTTTCATCAAATCAATATGTTACTTTGCCTCTTTTATTTTTAGATTTACTGACTGTTCTCAGGGTAGCAGATTCAAAGGGAAGAAATAAGCAAATTGGCCTGTATTTCAAAGCCAGGGCTGAGGTTTGACAGGAAGAACTATTGGAAATTAACAAGGGAACAGAGCTTCCCAGGCCCTCCTGGCTGACAGCTGGGCATTATGGAGATTTGTCCTTGGGGATGCTGAGCTATTTCAGTGCCAGAGAACATGCCATGGGTCCCTCAGCCACCAGGCAAGGAGTGCTCAGGCAAGTGTGTGCAGGAAGCCAACCCAGGGTGCATGAACATGGTTTTTTCCTGGAGCATGTATTACTGAAATATTTGCCATCAATTGTAGGCAAGAATCTGTCACTGCCAACTAATATGGCCCTGTGGTTTCCTAGAAAATGAGAGGGTTTGAAAATATGAATGAATTTGCCTTATGACTCAAATTTTGGGGAGGGAGGAAGCGTTCCTGAACATGAAAATATTGTTTTAAGATATCAGCTCTCTATGTGAGAACTTAGATTCTGGGTTCTTGGCTTCCAAGAAAAAAAAGCAGATGCCCTGGAGTTGGGCTGATCGTCCTTGCTTTCTCATTGTAGATCAACTCTTATGATAACTGTGACTTCAGTTGTTTGCGGGCTACAGAACATCGTTTTCTGTCAGAAATGCAGAAACAGGGATGACCGCATAGTCAGAATGCAAGCGGTGTGGGGATGCAGACGAATGTACGTGCAGCCAGCATATGGTCCACGCACGGGGCAGTGAGCAACGTGCATCCTCAAGGGCCTGATGGTTTCCAAGATGCCAGTGCTGCGGTTTAGGGTCACAAAAGCAATGAGCATGTTCCTAGCTAAACTGGAAGTTTTCATTGTTGCTTTGGGATAAATTTTGCCCCCGCCCACAAAGGTGGAAGAGTTGATGTACCTAGGAGTGGCTGAACTAAAGCACAGGTGCTCTTGTGGATATCGGCATCGTGAATAGAGATGTGCACACCTAGCACGTGTACATCCAAAAAACGCTCTTGGTGATGCACTCTCCTTGATTTTGCTTCTTCTGAAACCAAATGCAAAGTTAGTGTTGTTAAATATGCTTCTGCATTACCAAAGGGGAAACTGCTTTCATTTGACTTAAAAATATCACCGGGTCTTCTTGATGCTGACATTCTTTAAAATACAGATACTGTTTCGCCTGATATGGCTGTACCATATGTATACATCTATTTCTTTAAAACAAAAAGACAAAACCAGATTTATGGACAACATAAAATATTTTCTGGATACACAAGCAACAGTGAAAACACTTTTTAAATTAACAGGCATCAACAGGTATAAATACACTGTCTAAAGCATTTAATGGTCTTTAACAGAGCCAACTCCCCCAAGCTTGAAACAGCGTTAAATTCTCTCTTGCTGGTGGCAAAAAAGCTGTCAAGCACAACATTGATAAATTGGTACCATTTCCTGGCCAGTAAGCACAGAACTGAGGGGCTAAATATTTCATGATTTTTTTTTGTTTATTTTTGTTCTCATGCTGGTTCTTTATCTCCCTCCCCGCTTGCCTGCTCAGGGCTTATTGTTGTGACATTAGCCGTCTGCTGGATGCCAAACCAGATTCGCAGGATCATGGCTGCAGCCCAGCCCAAGCACGACTGGACCAAGTCCTACTTCCGGGCGTACATGATCCTGCTCCCGTTCTCCGACACCTTCTTCTACCTCAGCTCGGTGGTAAACCCGCTCCTGTACAACGTGTCCTCGCTGCAGTTCCGCAGGGTGTTCTGGCAGGTGCTGCGCTGCCACCTGACGCTGCCCCACGCCAACCAGGAGAAACGCCTGCGCGCCCACCCCAGCTCCAGCACCGACAGCGCGCGCTCCGCCCGCAGCCCGCTCATCTTCTTCGCGTCCCAGCGCAATTCCTCCGCAAGGAGAACTAACAAGGTTTTCCTAAGCACTTTTCAGAGCCAGGCCGTGCCCGAATCGAAGCCCCAGCCTCCAAGTCAGGAGTCCCCACAGCCCAACTCGGAGATGAAGCCGGTCAGCTGTGCCGCAGAGAATGGTTTCCAGGAGCACGAGGTATGACAGCGAACAGAGTGGGAACTGCCCTCCAGGCCCGGCAACGGCACCCTCCGTGGCAGCCATGGATAAACGACGACCGCATCAGGGACAGGAGGAAGCTAGAGGCTTCTGAAAGGGCAGGTGCCCATGTTGGTGGCTACTGAGCCGATTCTGCCAACCTGCCCTGAACTCTGGTTTACACGGGCAGGGGTGCTGAACTGAGAGCCACTCCCTTCCTTCAAGTTCACGCAAATTATTCAGTTGGGCTGTTTTTGCAGGGAGCTCTTTCGCTATTTGCAAAGGAACAAAAACAGAACAGACTCTTCTCTACCCAGAATGAAAGGACACTCAGAATAAACTCAGGCGGGTGGAGAGCAAGGGGCAGAAGAACAAGGCAGGAGGGGCTGCCAGCTCCTTCGGCTTCAGCAGTGTGCCAAGAAGAGGGCTAATTTGAGGAGCAGGGCGGTCGTGGGGAGCGTGGGTCTGAGGGCAGAGGCAAAGCTGCCCCTTTTCTTGGGCCGCGGCCCGTTGCACAGAGGCGTGTTGCAGCAGCTGATGCACACTGAGTTCAGTTTCCCTGGGGAGCAGAAGGACTGGTACCCCGCAGAGGCGATGAGACAGGCGGCCGAGGATGCACAGGACTTGCGATACATGATCCCTGCAACACAGACCCAAAGGCGCTGCGTTAACGAGCACTGGCCAAAGGCCCTCTGTCCCTCGGAGCCCAAATGCACAGGGGTAGCTCCGCCTTACTCCTTGCACAGCCCGGGGGCTGGATGGGCCTGGGAGGTACTGCAGGTTGATTCCCTGAGCTCCTCAAAGTCAGAGCCATGGCTAAAGAGGCAGTCACCATTGTACTGTTTTTGATAAAATTTTTTCTAGAAGCTATTTTAGATGTCAATACCAGTGGGGGTAAAAAAAAGAACTAATAAAAGCAGCCTTTTTTTTTTTTTTTTAAATATATGCCAGTGTTCACACTTTGTATTACAGGCTTTTATGTTGTTTCATTTTTCCTTTGAACTGTGTCATCCTAGAAGACAGCATATGGTTTATCTAAATCTTATCTCATAAGTGACCACAGAGAGATGGCTCTCAACTATGTGTTTAGTAAATTCCAGAATTCCTTGACTCAAGACTAATTCCCCAAAGGGAATAAATCCTTACTACAGGGGTCTGACCTTTCCAGGTGGAGTTAATGAAGACGTGGCCTGGCTGACAGTGTGTCGAGCACAGCCTCCTTCTGAGGGAAAAAGCTCTGCCCTTGGGTAGAAGGTCCACATGCCAAGTTAGCAGCAAAAAGCTGGTTTTCAGTAATATGCTACACTGTCTGGGCACATAAACCTTTGAAGAAGCCTGGAGACTTTTCTTGGGGAATATATGTGTTCTGTCACCAAATTAAGGTGTCCTATGTCATCAGTTGACTTCCTAAAGTTGACATTATTCAAGTCAAATAATAGCTAAGTGAAAGACTTTCCTGGGTGCTGGACTCTATACAGATGGCCACAGCATGCTAACCTATGTCCTGCTCTGCTACAGTCTGGATCTAGCATATCTGCCACAGACACATGTAATTAAGGCTTGTGCCCCCATCATGCCACTATCAGGAGGTAGCGGAACCCTTGAGAGGCAGTGCCTTGTGGGAAGTCTTACATCAATCGGGGAGGCAGATCCTTCAAGGGGACAGTGGAACTACAGCCTCTCGCTCTGCCACATACTCTCCAACATGATGTGTGGTCTTGCCACAGGCTATGACCAGGGACTGAAACCTCCAAAACTGTTAGCCAAAATATTATTTAATTTTGGTACCAAGAATTGAACTCAGGACCTTGCACTTGCCAGGCAGGCGCTTGTGCCACTGAGCTATATCCCTGGCCCCTGTTAGCCAAAATAAACCTTTTCTTCTCCTAAATTGATTCTCTCAGGTATTTTATTACAATAATGGAAAGCTGACTACTATATACCAAGAGCAGCACAATAAATGAGGTCTCCTGATCATCCTTACTGTACAAGATCCCAAGGGCCAGTAACTGAGGATTTAAGAACTTGCAACATCACACATGTAGAAAGAGTAGCAGCTAGGATTTGAACCTAGCATTTTGCTATCATCTGTAATACTGTGTAGTAATGGACAACAAATTAACACTGAAAATGATAAGAGTTTGTAGGGTGGTTCCACTCTGAAGATCATTTTTGGTGTGTATTGCTATTTTATATCAAAGAATCACATCTTTTGACCAATGATTAATACTGGTGGACTTTGAAATGCATAGTGTCAGCCAGTGTGCTTTTCTGTGCAACTTAAGGATATAAAACATGGACCTCAGTAGCCAAGGTCCTCTACCCCTAGTTCCTTGCAGATGTTTGGGCAGGTGTGGCTTGGGTTCAGAGTGCCTCTTCCATGAGAACTGCTGCTTTGGGTACATAGAAAGTGACAAATCAGACTGCCAAAAACTACAAGTGGGAAGTAAAAAGTACTTTAGATTTGCCTTAAAACATGCAATTTTATGTCATTTTTCTCTAAAACTGCATGTTTGGAAGGATTGATTTTTTTCTAGCACTGTTAGAAAATCCTGGAAGGGTGCTGCTCTAGTAATATAAAGCCCATGCACAAAGGATGCATGTCTGTGTATGTGTGGGAGGCACTGTTTGATTTCTAAGGAATATGGTTCGGGTAATCACTACATTTTCTACCCACTGCCCCTTTTGGAAATCACGTTTTACTATCTTTTTAGTCCTAATTTCAAAGCATTAATGCCATTTGCCACTTCAATTCAAATGAACTTTCTTCCTTTAAGTGAATTTTACGAAGGTAGGAGGTGCTGTACTAACGGCTGGGGAAAGCTGAGATTAAGAAGGGCTTTAAAAGCAAAGGCATTTCACCCACACTCTTGATTGCAATTACACTGGAGATGCGCTATCCTCTGAGAGATGTGGGATGGGGCTGCGTAGGGAGGCTGGGGTAGAAAGGCTGATTATTTGGAATCTTCAAAGAAGGGGAAACGAGCTGCCTCTCCAAAGACCTCAGATAAAGAAGAGCATTCACGGTCCATCTTCAGCAGGCAGCTGGGGAGGAGGAAGTAGTTGAGGACAAACAGGAGAGGTCCTGGAGAATAGTAAGGATCCCCCTGGAAGGAATATGCACTTGGATACTGCACAAAAGCTTAAACAAAATGGCCTTAGGCAAGAGGAAGTCACAGTAGCTTGTGATGGTGGCAATGGTGCAGAAAACCACTGCAAGGAATCTGAAGCAGAAAGAGTGGAGGTGGCTGGAATGAATCCAGTTGAAAGGGAGTAAGTTGCTAAGTGGGATGAGTAGGATGAGAGTTCAGATCTATGATCAGTTCCACTGCTCACATGTGTATCATGATAAATTCCAAGTGAGGCTAAGATTTACATGTTGAGAAGACAAAGAAAATCATAAAAGTACTAAAATATACTCTAGAATCTTAAGCAATTTCTTTTATCGTATATAAGAGTAGTGAAGGTTCTAGGTTATTCTATGATACAACCTCAGAAGCCAATATAGAAAAGATTGACAAATTCAAATGCAATTATATACATATATAATATACATAATGTATATATATTTATATTGTATATATTTTATATTCATTATAGTATATATATATTTGTATATATATAAATTTTATATCTATCTATATATGTCTCCATAAAGGAAAGTATAATTCCCATAAAGGAAAGTAAAAGACCAATAAATATTGAGGAAAATAACTCAAATAACAAGTCAGTCTTCCTAATATGTCAAAAGTGTTGTAGCAATCAGCAAGTAATAACTTATAATAAGTCAGTAAATTATAAGCCATCCAAAAAATAGAGAAAGTAGATAGTTCACAGGTAGGGACACAGGAAGAGCTTGGAAATACATGAAAAGATACCCACCCTCACTCATAAAGAGATGTGCAAATTAAAACTACATCGAAATACCATTCTTATTACTTGGGCAAAGATCAAAAAGCTTATTAGCACCATGTCTGTGGGTCTTGGACACAGGCCCTTTCTCACACTGTTGGTTAAGAAGGTAAACAGGTGTAAATTCCCTGAAGATGATGTGGAAATAGCTACCAGCATTAGGACTAGCAGTCCCGCTTTGATGAATTTATCCCACAGACATTCCCACAAAAGCAAAATGTCCATAGACAAGGTTATTCATCAAAGAGTGGTTTTAGTAGGAGAAAAACAGGTGATGACTCTGTCATTAGGGGCCTGGTAAATACTTCATGTCTTATCCACACAGGGGTGTCACACACCTTGGAAAGGAGGATGATTAAATTCTAAGAATCTTTTGTTCAAAAAACAAAATGCAGCTGGACAGATCCTTTCCTTCCTTTTAAAAAAATGAATTCATGCTCTTACTATGTTCTAAATAGTTTTAGGAGCTTTATAAATGCTACCATTTAGTCATTTAGTAACTCTTGAACAGTAATCTCCATTTTGCAGATGGAGAAACAGGCAGATAGCAGTTGAGAAATTTCCTTAGAGGATGTGCAGATAATGTGATAGAGCCGAGATCCAAACCAAGAAAACTTGGCTTTAGAACTTCTTAACCGTTCCACTGCACTCCCACTACACTAGAATTTGTATCCACCGGGGGAAAAGGTGGTATCTGTACACATACATTTCACGGGGGCACGGAGTATTTCAAGAAGAATACACCACAAAGGGATCATACTGGCTGTCTTGGAGATGTACTAGGTGGTCACTGAATAGGGGTGGGAAAAAAAACCTGTAGGGTTGTTCTCTACCATTTGAAGTTAGGAGCCTGAAAGTACCTTTCTAAAAAGGACCTTTAAAATAACACCCCCAGTGAATCGTTTTATTGAATGGCTTCTCTTTCCCACAGTAGCACAGGGTCCTTCCTTGCTACATCTATCAGAGGCTCTTGGGAATGAACACATTGAGTCACACAAGGTACCCAAAGCCCAAGTCACAGGGCAAGGGGACTTGTATCTCAGCACCCATGACCTCAAGTCTTGGCCTGAGTGTGGAAGCACTTTGAGCAAAACCAGGATGGGCCTTCTCAGATTACTGGTAGATGGGTACATTAGCAGGAGATCAGAAGGATCTATAATATACATATGAACTTCTGTGTGGTACTGAGGATCACACCTAGGGTTTGTGCATGCTAAATACAAGCTCTGCCACTGAGCTAAAGAAACCCCCAGCCCTATAATAACTTAAAATGTGCAAATCTAATAGATCCGTTCCTTAGCATTTACCCTGCAAAACAAAACACACTTTCACATCCCTAACTGGAAAAAAGCACGTTTATACTAGGGGATGTTAAACAGCAGTTAAAAAGAAATTGCAGAACCCTATCCTAATCAGAAGGTTCTCAGTGAGTGGAACAATGAAGCTCCAGAATTACATGTTGTGAGGAAAACACAAAGCAATACAACACATGTTGTGGCAGTGTTTACAGGATATTTGTGTACACATTGGAGTATGAAAGCTTGTTTCTAAGTAAAATCAGAGCAAGAGGTCCAGAAAGCTATATAATAAATCCCCTTTAGGGGATGGGTGGTAGTCAGGAACCACTTTTGATCGGGGTATCAATGTTTTGCAATGGGAAAATATATTCATAGGGAGACTGTGTCTATAAATTGCAAATTAATAGAACTGACAAAGCCAAGTGAGCTG